AATAGCTTCTATAGATTCCGTGCATATCTGAGGTTAGAGTCTCAGTATTATGTTAGGCTTGCTGGAATCCTTTTAGAAAGGCCAACAACTCGAAAACTATAGGTCTATGACCTAGTTAGCAATATTCCGGTTGTCCAGAAAAACTTACTGTTTGATCTCTGATAACTATTTCATTTTTGAACCTTTGCCAGCAGTGGTTAGGAGAACTTAAGCTTCCAATCAAATTTGCAGACAAAAATGCTTTTTGCACTTCTTTATTACGGAAGGAATAGGGTGCAAAATTGTTGATTGCTCAGCTTTGTCCACAAACAACTATTGAAAACAATACAAAGGTAATTTTAAAAAGCTTGGGATTTGTCTGATTGTTATTTGGCATATTCGTATTTGGTGGTAGGGTTATTTGACGTGCTGATCCCTAACATGGTAACCATATGATTCGGCAAGGTTCTAAAACAAAATTACAGTAAGTGGTAAACAGTAAAGCCAATGTTCACCAACGCGAGTTCTCGTCAGGACAGAAGAAGGGATGAAATTCACTTGAATGGAAGTGTAAGCTCAAGATAGCCCTTAATGAGCAACAGGGGCTTTAGAAGGAATCACTACCGATTACCAGTGAACATATTTTTGAGCACCCTGTACATAATTGCACATTGTCTACATTCGGTTTTTTTAGATATTCCATTTCACAATTTCAGACATGGATCTATATACACTGCGCAATAAGCATCGTAGTTTGTATGCTCGGTATCGCCATCGGTGTTCTATTATTGGTATATCCGTCATGGCACGAATTTCTCTTATTGTATAAGCAAACATTAACGGTAAGTTTCTAAGCAACAACTATTTCAATTCACTTTCCATAGCTTGCCACCAATAGACTTGTTCATCGCATCAAGGTGTCATATTAAAAAATGTTTCTGAGCTTCTAGAATATATTTTACCGCTGTGTTCCTTGTAGGAATAATTGCGCTCAAGAGAGCAAATTATAATCTTTATTGATGCCTTTGATTACACCAGAAAAAGAGGTAGCGATCAAAGTAATTGGCATATAATAGGAAGAAAAAACTCTGATTTGAATGGTTGATAAAAGAAATGAATGGATTCAAGTCGCCAAAAGGAGTTTATTACCTTCTGGGTACAGCCGCATACAGTACCGCTCATAACTTCTGCAAAAAAAACGTGCTTTCAAATAAAAATCCGTCGCTAGCGTCGCATCATCTAACTTCTTCGAGAACAAATATTTCTAGGAAAAGCGGTGTTATACTCAACTCATCAGAACGAATTTAAGGTATGCCATATTACGGTAGATACGGTGGGACGTTAACATGGCGAACTGGAATTTTTGTGGGT